TGAGTCTGCTTACAAACAATGGTAAAAAGAAACTCAAGTGGAAAATTTAACTGTAACAGATACAATTCTTCCATTAGATTTGCAAGTTAAATATTTGTCAGAGATACTCTTGTGCCGTTTCTCATAATTAACAGTTCTCTGGGCTAAAGTTATTGTTTTCAGCCCTCTCATTATGACTCAAGATGAATTCTACTGAGTGACTTTGTAATAAATTAAATCCTGTATTCTTTATGACACAGTAATGGGTTAGTAACTATATCTAAAGTTGTAACAGCCAAAAAAAAAAGGTAAGATTATTAACTAGGAAGAGTTGAGGTGGTGGTTATTTTACATATAACATTTCTTTAACTTTTACAACTAACTAAAATTGCATTACATTAGGTCTTTTAAGTAGAGGAAACAATTTTGCAATAGATGTTTCACCTGAAAAACTGGAAATAGGATGCATTTAAACACTTTACAGAAGCAATTTCAAAGGGCCTAAACAAGTTAATAAAATGGTTTGGAAAAATCATTTTATTGTATAAGCCTTGGGGAATAAAAGCTGTGTGTAATTTATTTACATCTTTTACTTCACCAAATTGCCTTGGTGACCAAGCTTCTCATTTAAGTGATTAAAGACAGAAACTCAAATACTTAAATAAAGCAATTACTTAACAGTCCTGTTTTTCAACAGAGGTGCACTGAAAAATATCAATAGAATGTTTTCAGGTCTCATTATTTTCAAGGAAGTTTGTTATTTAGAATACAATGCCCCATTGACCAGAACTCAGCCAGGTTTCCAGACACACAATACAAGACACACATTGGATTAAAGATTTTTTTTCATTCTCTCAGAATATCAGGTGAAATAGTGATAGTCTCTTGAAACTGAATATGCATAACCTGGCTAAAACTCAGATGGTAACTTTTTTGATATTTCTCCTTACTATTCCCCCTCTCTAAAGACATACCTAAATGAAATGTGTTTTCATTTTCCAGGTGGACATGAAAAGCTTCCAATTTATGAGAGTTCCTGGTGCTCTTCCCACCCCAAGATTCTCTTCTGGCCAACTTCTTAGGTTACACTAATGACATCAGGATTACTTCTAGGCAATAGATTGACCTAAATACAAACCTATGTTTTCACGGAGCTTGGGAAATGAATGAGGCTGGCAAGATTTTAAAAAGCAAATAGAATTGAACAGCAGGAAAAATAAATTACATGTTTTCCAATTCTTTTCTTTTAAAGCACTTTCCTTTTGCCTATAACGAGAATCACACAAACTCCTTTATCAAGTCTATCCTCAGAAACAGAAGGAAACAAAACAGCAAAACTTTACTAATTCCTGTCCTTCTGTTCATGATATCAAGCTTATTTAACAACATTGTTTTTCTTGTATTACAAAATTCTAACACAAACATTTATAAGACAAGACTATAGAAAATTTTCCAGCATTCCATTAACAAAGCATTCTTAATATAAAAAGACCTTCTACAAAAGCTTTTTTTAAAATAACTTCTGAGTACATTTTATATTTTTAGACAATTACCTCTGGCCAGTCAAGATGGAAAACGTTCAAATTTCGAACTTTTGTAAACAAATAAACATGGGGTTTGTTCTAGTAATAACCATATGAACATCAAAGTCAACAGGGCTGACACTTAGGAATGTCTGAAATGTTTGGTAGGTTTCCTGATGTTTGGTTTTTCTAGGAAGCTTTGGTGGGGCAAATGTGCCGCTTTCCGACTATCAATGGAGCTCTCATGTCGTGGGGTTAGCAGTAGCTGGCCCACTTACTTCTGGTTCAGGCAAGATTCTGTGTTGGGTCAGTTTTTACTCTATTCTACACAACTGGCAGGAGAACCATAAAGTTTAACAGTTCATTTATTCGGCACAGTCACCCCGCAGTCACAGTGGAGGTTTTGCCTCTTCTAGTCTTGTTTGGTGACCCACTCTCCCAACCTGATAGCAGGTTTTAGTCATTGTTATTCTTCTAACTAATCAACCAAATGCACCACTTCCCCCCTCTCTAATTTCCACCAAAGGCCTCTGACATCATTTTCCGACCAGCCTTGCTCGGTTCTAACATTCTAACATTCTCAGCATGCGTAATTTCACTTGGCACTTAAAACAATATTCTTGAAAGAAAAGGAAATATTTCACTGAAATCTGCTTTTCCTTCACACCCGAGACAGGGAATGTGCATTTTCAGATGCAGAAGACTGATCTAACTGACAATTTTAAATAGATGAGAAAGGCACAGGAGAGGCCGGGAGTGCAACACCAAGAGAAGAGCAAGATCAAAGCAGGACATTCCTTGTTGGGATAAAAATAGTCTTTTAGAATGGGAACTTTCTGGAGACACTGAAACAAATTTTCTTGTTAAAAACTACCGCCATCTTCCACACGTTTGATAAACATGTGCAATCTATCCATGATCTCCCAGATATGACAGCTCCATCAGGGAAAATGAAAAATCAAAAAACGGTACCAGGTGCCATTCTTGGGGCATGTCCAAAGGCAGCCAGGGCAAGATTCTATTTTATTGATGTTCTCCCCACACTAAATAATAATCAACATCAGAGAACGAGAGCATTTGGATTTGAACAGATGGCATCCAACACCTAACAAGCGAAGCAACACTTTCAAGCATTAGATCCTAAACGTTTGATGGTCCCAAGAATCAGGAGGGCTTATTTGTCTTAAAAGGGTTGGCAGGCAGGATCTCCTGTAGTCACCACCCCAATGCTTAGGAATATGCGTCATTATCGGGTCAGCAACTCAAAGTCGAGAAAATTAAGCCACCACATTTTTATAAAATTTCGCCCTCTCTAGTAAAACTTGAGACAACCAAATCCAACCCTATTGGCCGCTAAATGTAAGAGAAGAATAAGCCTGAAGGTAAACAAATGTATAAAGGTTAACAAACTTATCTAATTTTGACAAGGTTGTGCAACACCAAAAGAATCCGCAGGGCGCCCTTCCCGGGGGTGTATTTGAACATGCCTGCTCTGCAGCTAGGTCTGCAATTTAAACTAAAAGCACTAGCCTAGCTATTCAACTTTGTTTCCCTTCAATTGAAAGCAGCATCCTTCCAAAAAAAGAAAAGAAAAGAAAAAAGCAAAATAGTAAACATACAAACACCTCAATGTTTTACTTTAGAAAGGCAAAATGGATTTGTCTTTAGCACAACCATACAAGTTTCCTACTGTACCTTTCAAACACCACGGAACTCCTAAGGTAGAAGGGCCACTTGCAAGGGGAGGAACGGACCTGCAGTCACGGGGGCAAGAGTCGCTGGCCGCGGGGAAATGAGACCTCATCCCCTGAGATTCAGAGGCCCCCAAGGGCGGCCGGGAGAGGGAAAACTCGAGAATTCACAGACACACACACACACACACACACACTCTCACTCTCACTCTCTCTCTCTCTCTCTCTCTCTCTGTCTCTCTCTCTCTCACTCACTGCCGGACAAAATGGGGGGAGGGTCAGTCATGGGGAGGAGAGCCTTGAGGACGACGTCAAGGAGAGGGAAAACTAAAACCAGCATAGGCGGAGTCAAAGACTTGGAGGCGGGATGCCTTTGGAATTGGGGGTCCTCATGCGAGAAGTGGGGTGCTCGGGGCGAACTGTGTCAGGAACGGGGTGGGGAACAGGGGAAGACGCAGCCTGCGAGGCAGAAATCCGGTCAAGTGCAGGCGGCCGCCGCGTTCTCACCTGGGGGGTCCTCTCCGGGGGATTCTTCATTACCGCCTGGCGGAAGCTGTTATCCACGTAGGACGCCATCTCCCCCCTGCGCTTCGGGCCGTGCCGCTCGGCACCCTGGCCGGCCTCCTCCCGGCCCAGCGCCGCGGCTGCCTCCGCCTTGCGCGCTGCGCCTGCCCGCCCGCCCGAGGCTAATCAGCCAAACCGCGGCGGCGGCGGCGGCGCGGGGCCCACGGGGGGGCGGCTCGAATGGGCCCGGCGGCCCGGAGCGCGGTACAGGCGCGAGGGGCGCTGGGCGCAGCCGGGAGGGTCGCGGCGCGCGTAGGCTGCGGTGCCCTGCGCCCGGCAGGCGGAACTCCCCTTCCGCCTCCTCTTCCTCGCCGCTCCGCGGGCTCCGTCCGGCCCTGGCTCGACACGCCTCCCGGCTCCACTCGGGGGACAGTGGCGGCTCCTCCTGGCCCCAGCGGGCCCGAGTTATTTTTAGGGAGGTACGAGTGGCAGTGGGGAGGGCTGCGGGCAGGCAGGGCCTCCTCCCCCTTGGCGCTGAGGGTCGCCCCCTCCTCTCAGGGGCTCGCGCCGCCACCCAGGGGTCTCCGGGAAGCACTCGGATCTCCCGCGTCCCCAGTCCTTGGGCGCTCTGGCGCCGCGGCCGCTGGCCGGGAGGACAGACCGGGTGGGTCCGACTCAGGTCTGGACGCTGCGAAGCCCGATCACCTCGGCCGCCGTCGCCGCCGCTCCTGGTCTCCGTCTACTGGGCTCGGCCGTCCCTCCCGACTGCTGCTGCATCCCCTCGGGCCGCCCCGCCGCCGCCGCCGCCTCTGCTGCTCGGGCCGCCGCTGTGGGCTCCGCCGCCGCCGCCTCCCCCCATCAGCGCTCCCGGAGCGCAGTTGCCCCGGCGCCGGCGCCGCCGCGGCCAGAGCACCCGGCCCGGGCGGCAGCCCTCCGGCCCAGTCGCTCTCGGCAACTTTGTTCCTCGTCTGTGCGGGCCGGAGGAGGGGAAAGAGGGGGCCGCGGGCAGCCCGGGTTGGGACTCCCGGCGGCGGGCGTCCGAGGGCCGAGAGCCGAGCGCTGCGGACAGCCCCCGCGAAGAGAGTGTTTGGGAAGCGGCGATTCCCCTCCTCTTCCTCCGCCTCTTCCTCCTCCTGCGCCTTCTCCGGCCGCCCGAGCCGCTCCTCAGGGAGGAAGCGGCCTCCGGGCCTTGTTGCTTTGTGCTGAAACCATGGTGAGGAGTGAGTGACAGCGCGTGGGCCAGTCGGCGGCCGCCGCATCACCGCGGGGCGGGGCAGCTCCGTCGCGCTGGGTCCCGCCTCCCCGCTCCCAGCCCGCCCGCCGGCCGCGCCCTCGTGTCTGAGCTGCAGTTTCGGCGGCGCCCAGGTGAGCAGCGCTCCGGCGGCAGGGGGGTCGCGGAGCCGTGGACCGGGCTGGCGGGTCCCTCGCGCGGCCTGAACCCTAGGAGGGGGCGCAAGTCCCGGTGCCCCGGCGGGAAGCGCAGGGCTTTTCTCTCGCGGTGTCCCCCACTGTCTCACGCCGCGCCCCCTCCCCACAGCCGACGCTGGCTCCTAGGAGACCCAGCCGCGTCGGGTCGCCGTTCCCCGCCCGCTCCTGGCGCCAAGCCGCCGCCTGGGGGCTGAAAGCTAAGCCCGGGCAGAAGACCGGCCCGCCAGCCCGGGCCATACTGGGCATTCTTTTTGGGCCCAGGAGTTGGCCCCGAGTTGCTTCTGTGGCGTTAAATCCTCTTAGGATTTGTTTTGCTTGTTTGTAATTTGCTACACCCTCCCCTGCTTTCCAAGCCCACTTGGGCAACTCAGACACTAAAATGACCACGAAATTAGAGAGAGAGGTTTCAACACCAGACCCACTACTTAGTAGACCAGCAAACACTCCAGATTTAAAGGTGATCACTCCTTATCGACGGACCAGGATGGCAAGTTCTGTGATACTAATCAGAAACATTTATTGGTAGATCTGGCTTTGCCTTGGACAGAACAAGCCTCCTCCTCCAGATGCTCAGATTTCCAAACCAAACTGACTTGGTCCAGAAACAATACCTGGTCCTTCAAGATGTCACCGCTCCTGCTGCTTCGCTCAGCCCCTCGCTCCCCCCGCCCCCCCCCCACACACACACTCACACTCACACTCGCACTCGCCCCAGCCACGTGGAGATGTGTAAGGTCAATCCAAGCATCTGGGACCAGTCTGCTGTTCTGGTCACAGGGATTTATTTTTGTTTGCCCCCACCCCCCAAAAGTTCATATTTTGATATCTATAGAGACAATTAGTTTTATTTATGAGCTACTACATTGAACTTTTATCAGATTTTCAAACATCCTTTTCAACATCTACTTTAAACACTTGGAATAGATTGTCACCTAACATTTTGAGGTTCCTTAAGTCACCTGTGTGCACTAAGCAGCTTGTGTGACTTCTAGCGGAGGGACTGTCCCTGCCCAACCTTGTGAAATGGAAGCTGAGCTACAAATAGTATCTATAGACCTTTTTATATTACTCTTGCTAGAACTACTTCTCTGTATTTCTCTCTCACCTCTTGGTTGAGCCCCAGCATCAAATTCTCTATGACATAGGCCACCACCTTGAAAGCAAAGGAACATGAATGAGTGCCAATACAGCTTTGAAAAAGAGAAGGGGAGGGATAAAAGAATTCAGACCCAATGAAGTGAAAAAATATAACTGACACCTCCACCTGGTGTCTAATAGACATCTCAGAATTCATATGTGCAAACCAGCTCCAGATCTCCTGTCTCAGACACCCACAGCCTTCCCCATCCCCATTCTCATTCCCCAGGTGAAAACCTTGACTTCCTTGACTCCTTTCTGTTATACCTCAGAAGTGTCAGTAAAAACCATCAGCTCAACCTCCAAAATACCATATCTGAACTCTAACCTCTGCCTGCCACCCCTACTGCCGTGACCCTGGTTCAATCCAGCATCATGTTTGGCCAACACTTTATCATAACTGCCGACCTGGCCCCCCTCTTTCTGACCTTGTCTGCTACAGTTCATTTCCAACACAGCAGACAAAGTGTGAATTCTTTTCACTCCGCTCGAATCATTCCTCTGCTCAGCTCTTCATAGCACTCAAGGTAAAAGCCAGTCTTTACCACGGCCTGAATGACCTGTGGACCTTTATCTCTCTGACCTCTTCTCCTGCTACTCTATTCCCAAGCACATTAACCTCCATGCTGTTTCTGAAACAGTAAGCAAATTCCGGTCTCATGGCCTTTCCATCTGCTGTTCCCTCTACTGCCTGGATTATCTCTCCACCTCTCCCCACCCCACTTGCACCTACCAAAACAAAAAGAAAAACGCACACACAACAACCAAAATATAGAATGTACCTCATCTTCATCGTATCTTTATTTGAATGTCACCTTCCCTGTAACACCATACACTCTGGTTTTCTTCCTTACTTTACCTACCACCTGACATGCTATATATTTTACAGGTACTCGACCACTTCAGATGGGGTTACATCCTGATAAACCACTGTAAGTCTCAAATATTGTAAGTCAGAAATGCACTTAATACCCTGATAAATGGGTTTATGCACTTAGTACCCTGATAAACCCATTGTAAAGTGGAAGAATTGAAAGTCCATTTCTTGACCATCATAAATCGAAAACCATCTATACTTATTTATTTTGTTTACTGTTTTCTCCTTCCACTGTATTGTAAGCTTCTGAAATCAGGGATGTTTGTCCCTTTTATTTACTGCTATATCCTCAACACAAGGTTTGTTGCCAGTTAGCCAACAAACATGTATTAAATGGCTACAGGAAGGAGTAACTATCATGTTACTTTGTATTTGTATGAGATTGTTACATACATTATCTCACTTGTGTCTCTGGTTGGGGGAAAACGACTGGGAGAGGAAACTTAACCTCTGAGCCTGTTTTCTCTTTTATAAAAGGAGAGTAAAAATTGAATAGTCTGGCCAGGCAAAGTGGCTTACACCTGTAATCCCAGCACTTTGGGAGGCTGAAACAGGAGGAAAGCTTGAGGCCAGGAGTTCAAGACCAGCATGGCCAACATAGCAGGACCTCTGTCTCTACAAAAACTTTAAAAAATAAAAGTAGCTGGGCATGATGGGGTGCACTTGCAGTCCCAGCTACTCAGGAGGCCGAGGTGGGAGGATCTCTTGAGCCCAGGAGTTCAAAGTTGCAGTGAGCTATGATCACACCATGGCACTCCAGCCTGGGTGACAGAGCAAGATCCCTGTCACACAAAAAAAGAAAAAGAAAAAGGAAAAGAAAAAAATTGCATACCCTGAAGATTTGTGAAGATACAATACATGCAAAGTGCCTTGCATAGTGCTTAACAACAATATATACTCAGCAAATGGTAGTTATATTTACGATTATTCTCATTGTTGCAACCCTTTGAGGCTGGTGGGACAGTGTTATCGTCTTGTTTACAGATGAAGAACTGATGCTAACATAGGCTATATGACTTCCCCTAATTTCCAGTCTGCCTTTAACTTTAGAAAGATCCAGAGCCAGCTAACAAATGGAGACCAATATACCTTATCATAAATACTAAAAGCTACAAATTAACTGAGGGAGCACTGATGTAGGTAGCACTGGTGTCTGGTCTGCAACTGGAATCCCATTGTCTTTCCATCTCAGCTTCATCCTATCTCATGGAAAGGCTCACCCATAAGGGTGGTTCACCCAGCCTGAACATGTAAGTGACATCACACCCCTCAAAAAAGCCACCCCTTGGCGATTCCTCGGGCTAAGGGCCAGCCTTGGAAGATGAGGTCTGGAAGTGGCAGGGCAGTCAGGACCAGGGTTCCAGGAAGTCAGAGAGTATGGAACTCCTTGCCCCATGGTGAGGGTGGGGATACTAGAGGGGACCCTCTGCACCAGGTAGGAATGCCTCTCAGCCAGATCTCAGCCAGAGTTATGAATTCCACTTGCAAACCAAGGTCTTTTTTCTCTGTGTGCTCTGCTGTGATACTGAATTACATCAATCACCTCAGGTAAGGCATAATTGTATGTCTTATCCACCAACAAAATGACTAACTCACTGACAACTTCTAAGCTATCATTTAACTTCAATTAAAGCTAATTTTCACGCTACGTATAACATACTTATCTACATATGTCAATAATGCTTATCACCACTCAGCATCTAGGACATCTGATACTTGGCATGCATTGCTGTTTTATTAACATTTGAGCACTAGTAATGTGCTAGGTACAACCTGGAAGACAGAATTAGATAAAGATCTGCCACTCTGCCAATTAGTCTAAACCAAATTGTGTCAACAAACTATAATCAAAGTAAGCCGTCTATTATGCTGCCTCATAAAGGCAAGTATAAAAATGAGAGTTTCTTTGTTCTGTTTCTACTATCATCATATTATCTAGAAAATCATTAGGGGATAGGAAAAGAGAGCACTGGGTTTTAAGTTCAGAAATACTTTTCATTAATACCATTCTACTTGTAACTTAAAAAGTTCTGGCCTTAATACCATTCTACTTGTAACTTAAAAAGCTTTGATCTTTCCAACTGTAAAATCTAATATATCCCCAAATATATCATGTGGGTTAGGCATTTAGGGTCATCTTTAAAAGTGAGTTAAAATAATTTGTTTTAAATTCCCATGAGTTCAGCTATATACAAGATTAGGATGATTTTGCATACATGGTCATTTTGTTTTAAAAACACGTCGAGCCCTTACTGCTCCATCAATAAATATTTATTATGTGCTTTACTGTGTGCCAGGTACTGATCTCCATGCCTGGAATACAATAATGAATAAAATAAATATGGGTCCTTCCCTGGCCTCCTGGGAGCTTGTTTCATGTGCCAGGCATTGGTTTAATTTACTCACCTCTCCTACAAGGAAGGTGAGGATAATAGAAAGGATCCAGGAAGCTGCCCTCCTCCACTAAGACTAGGGCTTCCTCTGTTACTGCTTTCTCCTGTTGTTACAGCCCTCTCAAGGCAAGATTTCCAGCTGAGAGAAGTTGAATTCTGTTAAAGACATTCCTCATACCACTCCCCCTTCCCTAGAAACTCTTTTAAAAAGCATTGTTTTGCAATTACTTTTACCTCTGTAGTCAAGTCAATAAGAATCTCAGGAGAGTGGAACTGCTGTCCTTTACACACTATATCATTCTCAGTGAGCACACTCCACTAGGAAACATTGTATTCACCTACAAGAAGCATTCCAGACAGTCCCTAATGGGGAGTACAATTACAGACATTCAGAGAGAGATACAGTGAGTTCATAGGATATACCTCCTGATGAAATGTATCAGAAGCACAGGTAGAGTATCAGACTATTCATTTTGGTTGTACAGGAACGTAACAAATTCAGAGTTGAGGATGCTGCCACAAAATTACACTAACATAGAGGTCAGGTAGACGTTTAGATAGTTTGGAACTGATTCAGAAAAAGGAAACCATCTCCCCGGGATTTATTAATATTACCTAGGTTCTGCCCTGGACGTAATATTAAATAAAAAATATACACACAAACAAAACTGTTCTATTCAGTTACACTGTTGTTTTCCTCACACTGACATAACTACTTTCTTCCATTGATTTGTTTGCACTTGAAATGTAGGGCCAGTGGCAGAGAATAACCATTGTATTTCCCTTATTGTGAGAAAGCTGATACTGACATTTCTAATAGGAAATGCATTGTTAACCTTCTAATCCACCATCAATTCCTTCTATTGTTAGGTATTTGGCATTTATTTTTATAAATTGGCCCACGGGATGACGTTCTGAAATCATTTGGCCAGCTTTAAGGGGACTCATAAAGGAGTTTAGGTAAAAGATACAGATTAAGGTTTTTGTTTTTTAAGCCTAAAAGCAGGTAAAATTAAGAACTTTATTTTTAAAATCTAACAATATAAAGGCACTACATAATCCATAAGAGTATTTAATGCATAGATTTTTTAGAGCTTACACTAGATATCATGAATGCTCATTAGTAATTGAAGGAGAAAAAACTCACCTATTTCAAACATGCAAAGTTAACCCATTGAGATAATTCTGTCATAAGAGAGCATTGTACAGGATGGTATCTGGGTTTTCCCAATTCTGTTAAGGTGATTATACACAGCTAAAATTGCATCCACAAGCAAACTTGTATGTAGTGCAAAATTTGTAAAAGTGTTCCAAAAAAGTAAAACAGCTACACTTATTGCCAACTCTGTTCTCCAGGTGGTATTCAAGGATAAATGCAGGTGTGCTACAGTACAGATGTCTACCATAGCAGTGTTAAAATCAGACAAGGTCATTTGAGAAAAAAAAAAAAAAAAAAAACGTATTCTTGGCCAGCTGTGATTTTTTAAATGCCAATAGTAATAATTGTTCTAAAGTCATGATTATTTAATATTTGTTAAATCCAAGACTAGAGTGCTAGGCACCATGTGTACACAAACAAAGACAAAGTGCTTATGTGTTGAGCTTAGAAATCTAAATTAGGCAAAGGAAGTGAAGGGCAAACAAGGGCGTGGTAAACACGCACTAGGGACCTGTTTAGAAAATTAAGCTTTTTAAAAATTGTTTATTATTATTATTTTATCTTATTTTATTTATTTTTTGAGATGGAGTCTTGCTCTGTCGCCAGGCTGGAGTACAGTGGCACAATCTTGGCTCACTGCAACCTCCGCCTCCTGGGTTCAAGCGATTCTCCTGCCTCAGCCTCCCGAGTAGCTGGGACCACAGGTGTGTGCCATCACCCAGCTATTTTTTGGATTTTTTATAGAGATGGGATTTCACCGTGTTGGTCAGGATGATCTCCATCTCTTGACCTCATGATCCTCCTGCCTCAACCTCTCAAAGTGCTGGGATTACAAGTATGAGCCACTGCGCCTGGCCGGATTGTTATTTTAGTTTTAACTATCAGAAAGTCCATTATATTGCAACACAAAAATTAAGGAGGAAAATCAAAGGAGAAAAGCATACCGCCCTTTTGGGAGTTTAAAGAGAACGGATTAAATGTGTAATGGCAACATGTATCCAGTTAGAGACCTAAAGGAAGAAAGCACAAGCAAATGGCAAAAAGCAACCATCAGCATTGGATGGAATACAATACAGGGACCAAGTAAAGATAATGTCTGAGCCATGGCTTGGAAGGAAATAGAACTGTCTACACCCTTGAGAGCCATATCACAATTGGTCCTGGACATCTTCTGTGTTTTTCTTTTAGTAAGGTTTTACTTATCGCATAAAATAAATAGTATCAGTGATAAATTCTGATATAGCATTTAAATCAGGGCTCAGTTTCACCTTATGTTTATCTCACCTATAAGGAATGAGTCTGTATCATCATAGCCTCTCTGTAAAAATCCAGTGATAATTAAACCAAGTCATAGACCAAAGAAAGCCCATAATACTCCACCCCAACCTGACCAGGTGCCTTATAGATGGGTCTATTGACACAGAAGAAATAGCATAGAAGTGACTGAAGTAACAGAATTTTATCATACTGCTACTGGGAGGGAAATGTAATCTACATTATCAA